TTCAATTCCAAGCGGCGACTCTCGGTTCCAAATACGCATCGGCGCTCTGCGCCAACGCTCCTCTCTCCTCATCCTCAACTTCAAGCCATCCATCCAGCCGCACCAACGCCGACTGTCCAACAGCGCCGACATCTCCACTGAACAAAACGGGGTTGTGAAAAATGCTGCCCATTACAGGCGCAAAAAACACAAGCGCCCCAGGTCTGTCCAGCACCGACAGTCAATGGCGCCGACATTCCTCCCAATCAAAATCCGTGCTGGTACAGGCGTGCTGCCGAGAAGGCGCAACCACCAAGCACAGATACTTCTCCTTTGACGAATGTCGTGGCCAAAAAACGCTGAAAACAGTCCATATCAGGGCCACACGATGAAACAACAAACAAAATGTGACAAAACAAAAGACAAAAACAACAAAAAAGAACAAAAAAGCAAGGCTCTTGAAGAGCACTTGCAGAAGGCTGCCTACTGGGGCGCCATCTTGTCGTGTGTATGGGGTATGTCATCAGTGCCAGCCAGTGGTCAAGCATCCTAAAGTAGATGCGGATTGCTCAAGTCAAACACACAATTCGGGAAGTTGGAAGAGGAAACTATTGATTACCTCTCACATAGTAGTGACTATTTTGTGGACAAAAAATATCAAGAAATTATCACTGCTGAGTCATAGGAAGATATGCGTTGTGATATTTTGTCAACCCATAGTGCCTTTCTGTAGATTTAAAACTTTTTCCAGAATGAGTACATTTTCTAATTTTCTATGAGTAGTCCATTTTCTGTCTGTTTTCTGTGATTTCTTTTGAGCTCCTGAGTTGTGGAATTTTGGATACGGTATTTTCACAATTAAATCGATACCGGCTTGCAGGGGGCTAGTTGTAATGACCACAAGTTAATCAGTTTAAGCTGGAGTAAGATGTACAATATCATGTAGAGCAGGGGTGCCCAAACTTTTTGGATCGAAGATCTACTTTTCAATCAACCTAGCTCCTGCGATCAACCCGTTACCGCTCACGCGCGCATACACGGGCGCTCACACATGCATGCCATGATGAGCAACAGCCATAACAGCACCAAGCATGAACGAAACACAAAAATGAAGTAGACACAAGAGTTTGTGAAAAGGAAAGCTCTGCTTTCAGTGGGAGACCTGATGCTGAGGCATGTGACGCACTTTTGCAGCTTGTTAACTATCGTAGCTCACGTATAACATTTTAAAATGCTTCTTTCGGACCGACAGATTCCCATTCTTTGCGAGTGCCATCGTTGAATTGTACACGAAACAAACTTTCACTGTTAATAATAATAATAATAATCGCAATAATAATAATAATAATAATAGTTATATCGCAACAGCTCTGATCGCGAGCTGCAATTATTTTATTTTTTAAATACTTTTTGTGAAAGTGAGATGGATGATTCGGGTACATTGTGCATTAACACAAAAATATATTACTAACATGCAGAGACACACAAATGTTTGTTTGTTTTTTACTCTACACCCCTCATGATCATACTTGGGACCAGTCCGCGAGCTGCCGGTCTATCCAACGTAATAGGCACCGCTAATGAGTATCCAGGCCTCCACTACACATTTCCGGCTTGATCGCAGCAGCTATTTCCGGGTAAAGCCATTACGTGGGATTTAAAATGCACAAAACATTTTTATTTAGTTTCAGCGAATTAAAAAGAAATGCTAAATAACTCCCCACGCCCCCAAAAGAAAAAAAAGTATCCAAGGTCACACAGTATGTGAATAGACTACAGATAGGTTTGTGTTTGTACAGCACCACCACAGACCATTGCGGGTGGGGCATCAAAAAGGACATACATCAATATCTAGTTACTCTACATACATCTGATGGATGACCCAACATGCCGTGGAGCAAAAGGCAGCTCATTTCAAAACATCACAACCTATTCCACATTGGCACAACTAATCAATTAAGGATCTCATTGAAATACTCACAGAAGTTTAACCCCAGAAAACGACTTTAGCAGTGTCCGCTCTTTCAAAGCTGTCATCGACGATTACAAAAAATTGCTTTGGAGCACCCCCTAAAGAGGTTTATTGGAGCCCTATACTGGTATGTTTGACCTGGGGCTACAAAAATTGGGAGGAATGTGTCACACCCTCAACAATACATGAAAGTCTTTGTTCACCATACCCCAAAACAGGAACCATTTTCATTATCCACCCATCCATCATTCCATTTTGTGTGGGTCATGGATGCTCTGGAAACTATCTGTCAAGCAGAAGTGTCAAATCCAGGCCCAGAGAGTAAAAAGCATGCCACAGTTTGGCTTTACCAAGGAGCTTATTTTTTCAGCTGATTCAGTAGAAGCCAAACTGTGGCAGGGTTTTTACTTGTTTTCATTTTCTGGAGCTGAATTTGACACCTTTGCTGTCAAGGTTGGTAACGAGTTCGGCCCCAGAGCAGGGAAGCACTGGTTTCAGGAGTCTCACATTCGTTTCATTTATTCATTCATTCATTTTCCGAACCGCTTTATCCTCACGAGGGTCGCTGGGGGTGCTGGAGCCTATCCCAGCTGTCTTCGGGCAGTAGGTGGGGGACACCCTGAACCGGTTGCCAGCCAATCGCAGTCGTTTCATTTAATGAAATATAAAAAGGGCGGCCCGTTGGTCCAGTGGTTAGCACGTCGACCTCACAGTGCAGAGGTGCAGGGTTCAATTCCGGCACCGGCCTCCCTGTGTGGAGTTTGCATGTTCTCCCCTGGCCTGCATGGGTTTTCTCCGGGTACTCCAGTTTCCTCCCACATTACAAAAAACATGCATGGCAGGCTGATTGAACACTCGAAATTGTCCCTAGGTGTGAGTGTGTGCGCAGATGGTTGTTCGTCTCTATGTGCCCATCGATTGCCTGGCAACCGGTTCAGGGTGTCCCCTGTTTACAGCCAGAAGACAGCTGAGATAGGCTCCAGCACCCCCCGTGACGCTAGCGAGGATCAAGCTGTTCGGAAAATGAATGAAGGAATGTTTTTGGTATGTTGACGTGGTGATGTGAGTGAGTGCGATGTGAGGTGACACGAGTGCTTGTGTGGTTGCTTTGATGGAGTGTTGTTGAGGTGGACTGGAATGGTGGCAGTGTATGAGCGACGACAATGTCCAGTGTTGGTTTGTCGAGTTGGACACTTCATTTGTCATTCGCCGGCGGCCGGACAATCTGTGTGTCATTATAAATGCGTCATTATTTCAAGCCGATCAAATCTGTCATCGTCAGTGTTTACAGCCAGAAGACAGCTGGGATAGGCTCCAGCACCCCCCGTGACTCTTGTAAGGACAAAGCGGATTGGAAAATGGAAATGTAAACATAAAAAGGCAAACAAGGCACATCCATCCATCCATCCATCCATCCATCCATTTTCCACCGCTTATCCGGGGTTGGGTCGCGGGGGCAGCAGCTTTAGGAGGGAAGCCCAGACTTCCCTCTCCCCAGTCACTTCTTCGAGCTCTTCCTGGCGGATCCCGAGGCGTTCCAAGGCCAGCTGGGTGACATAGTCTCTCCAGCGTGTCCTTGGTCGTCCCCGGGGTCTCCTGCCAGTGGGACATGCCCGGAACACCTCACCAGGGAGGCGTCCAGGAGACATCCTAATTAGATGCCCGAGCCACCTCATCTGGCTCCTCTCGATGTGGAGGAGAAGCGGCTCTACCCTGATCCCTTCCCGGATGACCGAGCTTCTCACCTTATCTCTAAGGGAGACGATCTGCCTGTTGATCTCCCGCTCCATACAGCCCTCGCTTGTGAAAAGGACCCCAATATATTTAAACTCCTCAACTTAGGGCAAGATCTCATCCTTTTCCAACTTCGGACCATTGTTTCAGATTTGGAGGTGCTGATTTTCATCCTAACCGCTTCACACTGCGAAATGCTACAGTGAGAGTTGGAGAGCCTAGCTTGAAGGAGCCAACAGTATCACATCTGAAAAAAAACAGATGCAAAACTGAGGCCACCAAACTAGACCCCCTCAATGCCTCGGTTGCGCCTAGAAATTCTGTCCATTGAGATTTTGGAACAGAAACGGTGGCAAAGGGCAGCCTTGGTGGAGTCCAACCCTCACTGAAAATGAATCGGATGTATTTTAACTAAACTCTGACATCAGTGGAATAGGGACCGAACAGCTCATATCAGGAGGTTCCGTACCCCATACTCTCGAAGCACCCGCCACAGAACTTCCCAAGGGACATGGTTGAACGTCTTCTCCAAGTCCACAAAGCACATGCAGACTGTTGGGCAAATTCCCATGCACCCTCAAGGTCCCAGCCAACAGTGTAGGGCTGGTCCACTGTTCCACGTCCAGGACGAAAACCACACAGCTCCTCCTGAATCTGAGACTCGACTTCCTGATGGACCCCCTCTTCTCCAGCACCCCAGAATAAACCTTACCAGGGAGGCTGAGGAGTGTGATCCCTCTGTAGTTGGAACACTCTTTTTTAAAAAGAGGGACCACCACCCGGTCTGCCAATCCAGAGGCACTCTCCCCGCTGACCACGCAATATTGCAGAGGCGTGTCAACCAGGACAGCCCCACAACATCCAGAGCCTTGAGGACCTCCGGGCGGATCTCATCCACCCCTGGGGCCTTGCCACCGAGGAGCTTTTTAACCACACCGTTGACTCCAACCACAGAGATAGGAGAGCCTACCTCAGGGTCCTCAGACTCTGCTTCCTCCAAGGAAGGTGTGTTGGTGGAGTTGAGGAGGTCTACGAAGTACTCTGCCCACCGGTTCACAACGTCCCGAGTCGAAGTCAGCAGCGCCCCATCCCCACTGTACACAGTGTGAGTGGTGCACTGCTTCCCCCTCCTGAGACGTCAGATGGTGGCCCAGAATTTCCTCGAAGCCGTCCGGAAGTCGGCTTCCATGGCCTCACCGTTTTTGCCTCAGCGACCACCGAAGCTGCGTTCCGCTTACCCATTCGATACCCGTCAGCTGCCTCCGGGGTCCCACAGGCCATAAAGGCCCGATAGGACTCCTTCTTCAGCTTAACGGCATCCCTTGCTGCTGGTGTCCACCAGCGAGTACGGGGGTTGCCGCCACGACAGGCACCAACCACCTTATGTCCACAACTCAGATTGGCTGCCTCAACAATAGAGACACGGAACATGGTCCATTCAGACTCAATGTCACCCGCATCCCCCGTGACATGGGAAAAGCTCTGCCGGAGGTGGGAGTTGAAAGTCTTTCTGACAGGGGATTCCGCCAGACGCTCCCAACAAACCCTCACAC